GCCATCCTGGTGTCAATGACCCATTTATGTTGTATATGCAGTAGCTGAAACTTTCTCCTTACATTGTTACATCAGTACTTTCCATTAAATTATATATACTTTGACTTATTTGGTATCAACACTCTTACAGTCATTGTGAAATCTTGCCTACGTCATGATTTCACACTGACAATTAGTAACACAAGAAATTCCATAATTGTCACACCTATGGTGACTATGGTTACTAGATCTTCCTGCTGTTCAATCGGAACGTGAACTGTCAGTTCATCAATATCCTGAAATCAAGATAGTGTGTAATTGTTTACTATTTTAAATCATAACAATGTATTGAAAAGTTGCAGCTATTGTCTTTTTAAGTTTCTGTGGTATACTGTTTAAGGTATCATACTCGGCACTTCCCTTCTCTACTGATGTATTTCAGTGCTTACATACATCTCACATAAAATTTATGTTTGGTTTCAGGGAACGGAAATATCAAACATTATATCGCAGTACATACATGCACAGGTAGTCGGGAAATACAAGCAGCCACCTGTTGCAGAGTATCAGGATACAGCAGGGTTGAACGGCGTCAGATCAAAGCCGCTGTATTCCTAAATTTTAGTATAAGTATATATACATATCCCTGTTGGAATTTATCAAATATATGTAGTTAGCAATAATCAGAAAATACCTTGAATGGATTATCTGAAGTCTTTACCTGCATGTCATTAAATCATTTACATTTATTCAGATTGATGTAGAATCTAAAGATAAATCATCAACTTAAATGGTCACATATATTAATAATTTCTGGATGGTTTGCTTGCATATATGTTGTACTTTTGCTATAAAAAATAATTCCAGAATTTGTATAATGAAGCTAATGATTGTAATTATTTTTACCTGATTATATACATTTATGATGTGATTTAGTTCATACGCACACAAATTGCAGTCAATAATAAACCATTAGGGTTTATTGTTATCAGTGCTGACTTAGTAATCAACACAATAAGAGAATTGAATATATATATATGTATGGTCATTGCATGTTTAACTCTCTCAATGCTAACTTTTGTCATATTTCACAAAATAAAAACTTTCATTACTGTTTCGAAATGTTTTGAAAAAATTTGACTGCAGCCAGTTTAAAATTTACCAATGTTTTTTGAAAAATACAAAAAAATATTGGAAGAGTTAATGACAAGATTATTGTGAATGGATGAAATGACATTTATAAGTTATTAAATAATTGTATCTACTACATATTTAACCATATTTTTTAAAAACATTGCAAGCTTGTGTTTTATATAATGATGTAATAGCATTGTCTGAAACACAGAAATCACTAATCATATTATTACTATGCAACTATAAATAAAAAGCATTATCTGAAAGTAATAATTTGTTTTTTGTATTACAGCTTTTGATGAAATATTTACTTTATTTTTTTTCTTTAATGTACTCATGAGCTGCTGTTTTCATATGTTTAATATTGAGTTACTGCGGTTCTGAGAATTATTCAGTCAGCTAGAAGGATGGATCACAATTTTGCCAAACACTTAGCACTTGTTTTGTTCTAGACTTTATGGTACTGCTTGACAGATACCATGCTGTATGATTCACTATTTCACAGGCTGATCAACATGATGGTACATATTCAATAACTATTAATTTCTTGTTTATCAGTTTTGTGTGTAATTCAAAAATTTGTAATTATTAAAACATATCAAAATAACCTGTTTATTCTATTGAACACGTATCATTTAAAACAAATTGTACTTTACCTGCATCGAGTATGAAAATGGAGTGATCTAAGCTGTGTGCGTTTCAATGAGGCTAGATCAAAATTTGACAAAAATCGAAGTGTTTTGCAAAGTTGCAAGCTATTTTTCCAATTGACTGTCCGAATAATTTTTAGAATGGCTGTAAATTGTATGAAATGGTACAATGTTATGCATATGTCAACAATGCATGAAAAATGAGTTGGTCTACCAACATTTCATTTTCCAGCTCATGTGCATTTTGTTAAAAGAAATGCATGTTACTTGTACATATCACAAAGTTATCTTTCACTCAGTATTAATATAGTGGTTCATCCAGAACCTGAAAGCAGTAGCAACACTTTGAAAAACAACATTTGAGCTGATTAACCAGATTTACATATACAGTTGATGTGATTTTTATGTAGTTTAGGAAATTTCCAATTAATGACACAGCTTATGTTTTACACAGAAATACCATGTAGTAATAACAATATAAAATGAAAACCTTCCAACTTATAAAGCTATGGATCACATTCCATCATATTAACAAGCAATCCTGTACATTTTATTATGAATGCTGTATATTTATCTCTAATATAAAAAGTATTGGAAATTCTATTTTTATATATTTACTGATCGTACTAGATCATTGGAAGGGAGAAAACTGGGCTTATATTAATAATTTGTAATAATTTTTTAACATATACAATATATTACATCATTATTTACTACAGAATGATTACTCTATAAATTAACAAAACTCATTTGTCATATAAAGAATGCAGCTGCCTGTTAGTCAGTGGTGAAGTTTATTCTAATTTCCACATTCATGTCAGTGTGGCTTTACAGACGTGTACTTCACCCTGGCAACAATCACACTTCCAACAATCAACTTTTTGTGTTTGCATCAAGTTTTATTTGGATATGTTCTTCCCAATTGATTACTTACTTTATTATGCATCTTCCAACATTGAACATTAAGCAGATTACCTGGCTCCATTCAGAACATTGAATATTATTCAGATTGTCTGGCCTCCATCCTATCATAACATCCATCTAATCACAACTTCCATCATAGTACAATTATACATGTTACCTGGCTCCATCCAGAATGCCTTGTCTGATGGAAGCATTGTGTTCATGATATGGAATGAGTCGTATTGGTGATAAATAAACAGGTTTTATTCTTTATATTTATAATTTCAACAGTTAATAATTTCATGTTATTGGCAATAAAGAAAAAATACTACACTATCACAATTTGGTTGCATTGTCTTATTTTTGAATCCCATGTGTGAGTCAGTGTGTGTATATGTATGTACATATGTGCGTCTGTCTTGGGATATCATTGAACAATCACAAGATTTCAATGAAACTTGGTACATAGATGGTCTAGTATAATGTGCATGCCAGATTAGTTTGTCTTTGCATATTAATGACCTAATTTGCATATTAAATAACCAAATTTCACTTAACAGATTTCAATGATATTTGGTACATAGATGCTCTGGGATTATCCACAGATTATAGTTGTGGGTTGTAATCTGAATAATAATTTGCATAAATTTGTGGCAAGAGCATTAACTTTAGATTCAAACCAAAAGGTCATATAAAATGGTTAATTTGTGTTAACCAGTTGGTGGTGTTCTTCCAATGCAATCAAGATAAGTAAGCTGTCAAAATATCCGGACTTTCAAACATCCCTTTCCTCCAGCAGAAAATCAATTTCTCAGGATGAAGAGGATTTCATTTGGCAAGGTGATGACCGAAAGCCCAACAAGTATTCATGATTTTTTTGTCTATATTTTGTAGAAGGCAATGGTTCGACTCAAATCTTTACTACCGAGATAAACTATATGGCAAACTCTGACCTAGTCGCTCCCAAATAGAACACTTTATCCTACTCAAAGACCAAGTGTATTATTGATTGTACTGATTTGTTTTATTCAGAAACTCTCTACTCGATCAGCCCATATAAATGCCTGATTGATATGAGCCCCGGCGAAATGATATCATTTATATCTGGGTTATAAGATGGCAATGTACCCAACAAATTTATTACAATGAACAGTGATTTTCTTGAACTAGTTGAGTGAGGTAATACAATCATGACTGATCATGGTTTTAATATTATGGGACTGCTTTTAGTGCTAAATACAAAACTTGTCATTTCGCCATTTACTAGAAAGTGTATCTCAAAAAAAGAAAACATTAGAGACTAGAAAAATCAGCTCAAAATTCATTTAGAGACAATCTGATTAAAATAAGATCCTGGTTGGCTTAATCATTCTTGCAGCAAAATAATTGTAACGTCAAATAATAATTATAGTAATTATATAAAAAGAACCTTCAGATGTTTGTTCATACCTATGTCTATGAAATCAGTTACCAATCAAATAGTTCTTGTATTACTGCAAGTTATGCCACACTAAATGTATTTTGCGAAGTACTGAAACTTTATCGAATGAAGATTATTCGTGATATTACACTTCAGTGATCATTTCAAAATCCCACTCACAGTTCAGACCTAAATGAGCAGCCACTTGGAACTTGAGTCTTGAAATGAAACTGTGCATAATAACTACCCTATTTGCACAAATTAGCAAATTGTTAGTCGTTCCAAAGATATCTAAAGAACCATTACATTTCAATGAAACTTTTCGGTTCAAATACATGCATATTAAGTACCTAAATTTGCATAATTATCTGCTATCTCAAAAACACTTTAGATTTATAATATTATAATTAAACTTGGTGCATAGGTGCTCTTGAATAAATCACAGACAGCAAACCTGGGATCTATATAATCCAGTTTATTCTTTTTTTTATTAGTACCGGTATTATAAACTGCGGGTCATATTGTAGTGCTATGTTAGTCAACAAATTCTCATTTAAAAGACTAACATTTTAAAGTAATTTTGAACCCCAATACAGAGAATTCTCTCTGCTCAAAATGTTTGCTATTTCATGCAAGTACTTTATAGTGAATTCTGTATCTGTTGCTATCCCACAAGTCATTGCAAATGATGTGTGTGTGAGCATTCAAAGCTGACAGCTAATGATGTACTCTTTGTTTTCTTGGAAACAATTTCAATTTTTGTGCGATTTCCTGTCAAGATCTGATTTCACCATAGTAACCAGAAGCACAAGACATCCCATAATAGTCACAACTATGGTGACTATTGTTACCATAATAAGATCTTTCTGCTGTCCAATCGGAACATGAAATGTTAGTTCATCAATATCCTGAAACGAAAATAATGTGTAATTGTTTTTTATTATTCTAACAAAGGTACAAATAGTTAAAGTTGCCTTTCACAATTTTCACTGTCAAATTGTATCACAAGTTGGCGGCGGTAACCCTTTCTGAGTTTGTCCAAAAAGAGTACAGTGAGCTAATGAGTTATGCATAGCTTGGATTAAATTTGTATTATTATACATCTGTCACTGTAACGCCATAAGTTACAGTGTGTCGTCATTTTGCGGTATTTCACTGGGTATTTTCATCCTAGCATATTAGGAAATGCGAATTCCAAATATGGAATGATTACACGCATAAGTGTCCTCTAATAATAAAAACAAACATGGCTGCCCCCAGGGTTTGACCGGACTACACATAAAGAAGTTCGCTAAATATGCTCTAAACTTGTATATCTGGAAAGAAAAGATGTATAACAGACAGTACAGGGGCACATCACGGTCCATACTCCTGCTGTACTGTCTTTGTGCATAATTTGCAGTATCCTCATAATAACCTCATAATATCAAAGCAAACATTAAACCTGTCATCTGCATTTTTTTTGCGTGGATAACAACAGTGTATTGTTGTTTGGATTGCGCACTGTGGGATGACATTGACAATGGAAGATTTGACAATGTGAACTTACTGTTGTTTGTAGTGACTGCCAGTAACACTGTGTAATGTTCAGTGCTGTACAAGGAGCAAGGAATGGTGTTGATTCACAGTTCATGAAATTGACGTCTTCACTATCTACACCAAAAACACAAATGGCATCAGAAATAGTGAAAAATGCAACACTGAAGGAACAAGACATGAATGTCACAGTCCCCATCATTTAATTATAAAATATTCGTGTTAAAATAATGCATGGAACATCTGCAAACAGTTGAATTAATATGTACTCTATGTGGGTACAACTCATCATAAAGTGATTTCCCTGAATCTAGTATTGTACTGATAATTGAAAACTTCCATTGACCCATGTCCAAAATCTCAGAGTACACAAGTGAAACCAAACTATGTCTCATACAAACAACAAATTTGCATGCAGAGCTGAAGTAGGAGAATTCCCACTCTTAGTAGACATTTGGATCAATTTAATAAAATACTGGACTCGAATCAGTAAATTACCAGTCAATAATATCACAAAACAAGCATACTTTGAACAGAAGAAATCCAATTTACAATGGTACTCTTCAATACAAAAAATGATGAACAGCATGAATGTTTCACAAGAACAACAGAATGATTTGTTAACAAAACATATACAGCCAATAGGCAAAGTAGTCAAACAAAAATACATAAATTTCTGGAGAAAAAATATAACTGAAAAAACAAACCTGAGAAAAATTCAAAGACTCTTATAATTTTGAAAAATACTTAGATGTGTTGAATTTGAAACAAAGAATTTCAATGACAAAATTTCAAACTAGTAATCACAATTTAGCAATGGAAAAAGGGAGGCATAAGCAATCAAAAATACCTACTGAAAATAGAATTTGCAAACAATGTACACAGAATGAAATAGAAGATGAACTGCACTTTGTTATGATATGTCCACAATATAAAGTAATACGCCAACAAATCATACAAGATATTACCTTAAGAAACACAGGATGATCTCCAGAAATTTAATTTCTTGATGACTTCAAAAAATTATGTAATAACAAGCCATGCATGGCACAGTCCCCGTTAGTTATCAAATTTAAGATATATAGTTTTGTTTATAGTAATATAGCTGGAATATAACCATGTCAGGAATATGATTATGATGATTGTACAACATTTAAATGATTGACATTTGTATCTGATCGTCAAACGAGTATAGAGCGATATTGCTCTAGAACAGCATTCATTAAAACAAAATCTGCCATTTTGAATACATTTATAATGAATATATCAAATTTGAACATAGTCAGTCAAAGCATGTCAGAGATATGGCTCTAAAAGCCCATTCATTAAAACAAAATGGCCATTAGTCAGCCATTCTGAATCCAATCTAAAAATAAAATAACGTGCATCAGGAACCTGTAATGTATAGTAATAATAATAATAACCTTATTGAAATCGTATCCACAATGGGGTATTGATAAAGGTAATATATATAAAAATAATGACAAAAACAAAATTACAAATATAACTAAAACTACTAAAATACATAACAGTTAGAAAAAAGAAGATAATTTATAAAAAAACATGAATAGTAGAAAAGAAAATAGTGTTTCTTTGTTATGAGGCAGCTGGTAATCCTTTTTTTAAACTGTCTTCCCTCATAATAATGGTAAATAAATTTACTTAAATCTTTTAATATTTGTTTATCTTTTAGTTTTAGTTGGTTTATAAAATTTTCATAGTCAGAGTAATTGTGTTTGTTGAGGTCATCTCTCTCTTTTTTGTAGTGATTGCATTGTATTAGGAAGTGTGTTTCATCTTCTGACCATTGTTGCATATTAAGCATTTTCTTTCGTTCAGATCAATATTTTTTTTCTTCCTATTTCTATTTGCACTCATTCTTAGCTTGGTTATCGCCGACCTGTGTTTTGAATTATTAGTTTTCAGATAATTTTCAAAGGTGAAATCTTGTTTTATTTCTCTAAAGGTTTGTAATTTATTTTTGTGGTTCCGCCTT